CGTCGAAACACTTGTGTCATGGAAGCTCTGTTTCTGATTGGAGGTTGCAAGCGATGAGGATACTTAACTTCAAATGAGCTATAGTCTAAACTCCTAGTATCCCCCTTAACCCCTATAAAACTCCCCTATGTAATTCCCTATAGAACCCCTTTAAGGAGTTTAGACAAATCATACGGCTCCAGGTAAATAGCCTGCCGTCACCTTGAATTGCGGGCCCAGACCTCATTCTCGAACAGAATGACGTTTAGGGTTTAGGGTTTAGGGTTCAACAGAGCCTGACAACAACAACCGAGCCATATCGCAACTTATCAGGCTTTCGCGGACCGAGCTTTTGGGGACCTCATGTTGGACGACCCTGCGTACCTTAAGCGTCCCCAGACACAAAAGCCTACGTTTCGAAAGCCTACGTTTTGACGTATTCCGAAGTTATCCAAGGCAGGAATAAAAGCATAAAACGCTGTGCGAACTTGCTTCCACTCAGAGTTGATGACCTTCTTTCAACTATAACCAAGGTTCTGGACAAGTGACGATCTAGAAGAACCTAGCTTTTCGCTGCTTGGGAGTTTTTTTCGAGCTCATTTTGCTGAACATAGAGCTGGCCTGTGCCTCAGAAACGCATTGAAGACCGGAAAGCCACCCAGGTTTTATTTGTTTTCTGGAAAGCTCTATAGGCAAGAAAGGGCCTCGTGATAAACCCCCACCCCTCTTTTGATGAAGATCTGAAATTCATGAACTAATGTCCAACTCACACGCGCAATAAGCTGTAGTAGACCCTAAACCAACCTTTGCGTGCGACCGCGCCAGTGGGGTGAAACCGCTGTGGTGGCAGGTGCCAAAGTTTTGCAAGTCCCGTCGGTGAACGAACAATATTTTGAACAGGAAGATAAGACACCATGAAGTTTGGCACACGTCCACAAAAGTGCACATCCGACAACCTTGGGTGGATTCATCGGAAAAAAATCAACTTTGCAACACCTTCTTGGGAATGCATAGCAGCGCAATACAGGGACTTTATGGAAAGAACATTAAATTAAATGTACATGCCTCCATTTTATCCAGCTAGCCTACTAGGGGTTTGGGACGGTAGCAACTCAAGCCAGACTTTGCAAACGAGCCGATGCGGCCTGAAGCCATAGGATGTTGAACAGCTAGCTGACGACTGTTCACGAATAAGCATGATGAGCACCATGGCTTGACTAAGAAAGCAATGACCGTGCCAAACGTGATTGTCATGATGATGATGATGATGATAAAAGTGATGCTGATGATGGGGAGGAGGAGACCGCTGGTGATTCTGGTGGTGATCATCCTACTTCGTGATCACAAGTTTGGTGGCATGCATGCCAGCCGGGATGACACAATTAACAGCGGCAGGCAAGTCATGATCATCACTATGGCAACATGCTCAGAAGCAATCATGGTCTTTGTGCCTAATAGGTCACCCGCATTCAAAACAGTACTCCTCTTTTGGTGTTGTTGATATCAGTAGACTTCTTCATCAACGAGGCCCAGAACTTACGTGCAAGCCCGTCTGTACTCGAATGCCAGCCCTAAGCGCAGGGGAGCTTGAGAATTTCTACGAAAATCAACTTGGGCAAACGAATGCAGAAATCTGAAATATATGGCAGGAACCGAAGTAACATGTGCTTATATACAAGTATAGATGTACATATACCTAAATAAAAAAATATATATGTATATATATATACAGCAGCTCTGTACACCTAGTTCTGGGGAATCTGCCGCCTGAGGCTTCGTGTGCACAGAAGCACCGACACAGCCCACACACTGGCTTGGGCAGTGGTGGGCGCGGATGCATTAACAAAAAATGGGACTTCAGGTCCGGCCACGGGAAAGGGGGCAAGTTGGGGGTTTAGGGTTTAGGGTTTAGGGATTAGGGTTTAGGGTTTAGGGGTTTGTAGGGCTTCGAGTTAAGGGCTCAAGTCTTGTGACTGTATAAGCTCCAAATATGAAAACGTCAAACGAGTACCAGATGAATGTTATGCCTGCAAATAGCCAACTCAGCATGATTGTTGCACCCTGTTTTGCATAGTTACTCCTATAATGTCAATTTGCTTTAGGGATTGAGGGTCGCCCGATTGTTTTGGAGGGCCCTCGTTTATGTCAAGCTCTGGGGGCTAAGGGTTGAAACTGAAACACTAAACACAAACACTGCGACGAGTACTAGTACTACGTAAACCTGGCTACGCCTTGGTAAGGACAGCTTGGCCCTGACTAATCTCAACAAGTGCAGGTATGTGTCAAGCTGAAACCGTTTATGCCCACAACCACTCATCTGTGTAAGAAATCCTGGATCGAAAAAAACAGTATCTGCTCAAAACCTCCAGCACAACCCACGTGGATCATCGCACAAAGGCCGCAATGCAAAATGGCAGCAGTTTTGCTACGTGCCCCGCATGTTGTTTGAGTCCTGTGCTCAGGTCTAAGCAGGGTTTCAGGTTGGGGAGTAGTCCCAAAAGTGCGCTGGGTGGGCCCTCACCAGAAGATCTCAATCTCTCCGTAGCCACAAACATCCCCCTCTGCAACTTAGAGTTCTCTGTCTAGGCATGTTGCTGTGGGGTAGGGGGTAAGGTGCGGGCACCGGGAGCGCGCCCCGCAGGGGGCTAAACGTTACACTGAACCGTAAGCCGGCACTCCGAAAGGCAAGCAAGCGCGGTTCTGAGGAGAAAGACTCCTGGCGAGCGTGAGAAACAACTTATGGCTTATGGGCACAAGCTCCGATTACATATGGTCATGGCAGGCAGTGCACGCAAGAAAACATGCTAGAAGAATCGTTCTAGAGAATCGCTGGAGGAGTAGTTGCAAACCGTGAGAAGGCCTCTCGAAGGCGGGATCCGAAGGAAATAGGAGTCCTACCTCATAGCGCTCCTAATTCCACTATGTTTACTGGGGCGTCTTGGGGGACAAAGGGAATATGCTATATAGGGGTTACATAGGGATTCTAATCCCTACTCACAACCAGTAAGTAAAAGATGGCTCGTCTTGCGCTAGAAAGTCCAACCCACTCAGATTCCTGCACACTTTCGTAAGCCTCTGCATGGGCCGCGCCCTTTGAACCAGACAATGCGCAGCTTCCCGCCCTAAACGCTGAACACTACATCCTAGATGCAAAAGAGTGTTCAAACAGCGCACCGTGGCTCCAAACATCTACGGAATGATACACCTTGCACCTTCGAAATTTAATTACGTTGAGAGACCCTGGCTGTCTGGTCCCCTTTGTAACCGGCCATTCGAAGTGAACCTAACCCATCAGTAACCAAATCCTAAACCCTAAACCCCTGACCCCAGAAACCAAAAAGTAGGAGAGTTTGACAGGAGACCGCTGGCCCCAGCACGCGCACTAAGCCGTCAGCCAGGAGTCCGAGCCAGCAATGCCTTTAGTCGGTGTGATTGTCTCCCCAAACTGGTCCATTGGGGGTATATTGTCAAAATTGGGTTTAATGTAGGTTAGCCCTGTACTATACCGGTATGGGAGTCAACTTTACTGTGTAAGCTTTGGATTTAAGAAGATGTAGGGTTCTTTTTTGCTCGAAGGATCGTAGGGCTTGAGGCTTAGGGTGTTGGGGAGGTTAGGGGTCAGGGCACATAGGTAATTATGGGCCACTTTGGGGTTATAGATTCTATTGCAGCACCTAATAGCTAAGGGTACCAAAATAAGACCCCAATTCTGGGAACTACCCATACAGGGCTTGTAGGAGACTACCGAAGGGGCTGACTTTAGCATTCCCTGAGGTTCGAAGTATCCAATCGTCATATGTTTGCCCAACAGCTATACTTCTGTTACTATTCCCCAAATCCCCAGTACCTAACTAATTACTTGGTACTTGGACACTTAGGGTGATACAAGATCATCACAGACGGACAAACTCTGGAGATTTCCAGGACAACTCACAAGCAAAGATGTTTATGACTGGAAGCCTGTTGCTAAAGGTCCAAGTACCAAATAATTAGGTACTTGGGGCGTTGGTAAGAGTAACTGTAGTACAGGTTTTCTGGTAAGATGTGATTATTGAATACATCCTAAACCCGAAGCCCAAAACCCACCCCTTAGGGTTGCTTATTACGTGCAGTAACAGATACGCAGCCATAGTGGAAACCCATGCTTAAGCTCAAGCCTCTATTTATACTTCGTGATTCACGACGACATCGGAGTAACCATCTGAGGGCATGGTAGTTTCCATAAGTTGGCGGACCTCAATATAGACCCCAAAATATTCAAGTCCTCCTTGTGTGGACCCCCCAAAAAAACCAAAGGAGCCCTTAGTTTAGGAAAACACGAATGAATGTGGGTAGCATGTCTTGTACAAACATCCACGCTAGTTGCTTGCAGTAGTCGCCGGCACGACATCTCCCTTGGATTTTGATATGAAAGTTTTGAGAACCTCCGCGCTCAGGACTTGCTCACTGCAAGTTTCTACTTGAGTACCCTGAGTAATCTGACACAGGGAAAAACAGTACCTGAGCACCCTAAGTAACCTGATACAGCAAAAAACAGCAGCAAGACCAAGACATGAGGTATGCCATCTCCTTTTTATGGCCACTAGGTTCAGTCAGGAGGGCCTTCAAAACCCGCCACCGAACTGCTCGGCACAGTGCAAGCCAACCCTGGAAACCGGACAGTGGACAGACAAAGGACAGAAAGCTCAGGGTTTGAGGCTTCTAGGGCAATTAACAACATATAGGGAGCAGTTTTCAAATTTCCCAGCTCATTGAAAGATCGCAAAAATTTTCCGGGGTGCGGTTATGAATTAGAGTCTGGGAAGGCAACCCTCTACCAATTTCTGAGGCTGTCCAAAGCCACCTGGGACGTTCTCATTATCTTTTGAGAATCCTTACCGAACTCTAAACCCCTAAAACCGTTTCATCATCCCTATAAGCACTTCGGAATCTTAAGGCCCCCCCCGCCCCGAACCCTGTTTTGAGGGACTCCCATCTGAATTGTTGACCCATTGATCCAAGAATCGCAGTCCCTCAGGGATCTATGATGGCTCGGTTGCCTGGTGAAGTGTGAAGCTCAGGGGGTTAGATGAGGGTAGATGTTGTGAAGGTTTTAAAGGAGTGGTTCAGGGTTGGTGCTTAGGAGGTGAGAGCGTACAGCGTACTCCGCTCTTTCTGCCTTTCCGCCGGGTTTTGGCAGGAAATGCTTCAGGCAAAGTGATAATCGTACCTACACCCTCAACCCTAAGCCCTAAAACCGTAAACCCCTAAACCCTAAGCCCTAAACCATTGGGCTAGGCTTCCTAAGCTTGCTCGAGTAAATCCTCGAATAGGATTAAGGGTGTTGGCGGCAGTGGAAAAGAGTGGGAGGTCAACTGGTGGGATGGAACTCTTGCGGTGCAGCGGTTCAAACACTTACAGTGTTGGTTTCTCGGATTCCACAAGTTCAGGGCTTACAGACCCGGATACTTGAAATCGGGGCCCATGATCCCTGCTTGTCGCACTTCATTGTGGACGGAATTCTGTTTTTCACGGCCTTCACAGCATCTCCTAGACTAGGCAACTTCCTCAGCCAAGCCTGAAACCCTAAACCCTATACAGCCCCCTCTACAGCCCCATGTAACCATAGTCAAAACTCCTGGTATCCCCTTAACAACCCCCTACAGTAGTCCCCATGTATAATCCCTATATGAGTATGAGTGGTTGTCAAAATTCTGGTCCCTTTTTGGATCCCTATTATAATACGGCACCTAATATTTAGGGTACCCAAAAAGGGACCATAATTTTGACAACCACCCATATAACCTCCCTTTAAGGAATTCCCATGGCCTGGTCCCAAACCCCATCCCAATCTCGCGGTGGAGGGTTTTCTTGGTAGAACTTGCAGCCTGAAAAGACCATGGTATAGGGCTCAGGGTGGGCTGTCAGGGTTTAGGGATTAGGGTTTAGGGAGGCAAGGACTGGGACTTGAAATCTCGAGGAAGCTCTGAGGGAGAGGCCTCGGGCTCTGCGAATGATACCTAACCCAGCCCCCTGATTCATAAACCTTTCCACCCACAGGGATCCTAATATAACAGAGGGGGGCTATTCATCATGGGTCTACATTAATTAAGGATCTTAGAAAGTTGTTGAAAAAGCCCTTGATCCTAGTTAGGGCTGAGGCCTTCGTGTTCGCTACACGGTGTTTCTGCGATTCTCCGCTGGGGGACTGATTGTTGGGGCTGAGACTAAACATGGCGGAGCCCCAGGTGTTACTCTCCTATATATGTATATGTGTATATATATATGTATATGTATATGTATATGTATATATGTATATTAGATATATCCATGTATTTGAGTCCCATATTAACTCCTAGCGTCCCCTTAATAACCTGTATAATGCTCCCCCTATATGCCTCCTATTGAGGAGTTTAAACTCTAGCTCATATAGCCTTCGACCCGCACCACTGAGCTCTGCATCTTCTAGCACTACACCCGACACAGAGACTTGAGTGATTCCCGGGTGTCTGGGAGGGATGATGCAGGGGGTATGTGAGGGTAATGGAAAATCAAATGGAAACTACTACATTATAATAGGGTTTTATAGGGGCTATATAGGGATAACGGAAAAGAAAATGGAAACTACTGTTTAGGGTTTAGGGAGGATTGAGAGCTGGGTGTGGTCGGGTGTATAGCAGTCTTCGTTGAAACTGTTGCTGCCACTCTGATCACCTACAACCAAGTTCTTTCAATAAGCCTAAGCCCAAAACCCCAAAATCCACGTACGAGCTGACCCTCCCAACATGGAGCCCCAAAATAATTTTGTCGGGTTTGTCCTGNNCGCGCGGATATGGTTCAGGTTCTGAATTTACAAGATGACGGGGTTCAGGGGCTCAAAATTAAAGACCCGGGACCTATAACTAAGGATTTGGGATCTAGAGCTGAGGATCTGGGACTTAACAATTAAGGACCTGGGACCTAAAATTTCGGATCTGGGATCTAAAATTAAGAGCCTGGAACCTAAAGTTAAGGTTTGGGACCTAACATTAAGCTAGACTAAGGACCTGGGACCTGAAATTAAGGACCTGAAGCCTCAAATCACGGACCTGGCGCGACCCGTAGACAGGGACCTGTAAAAGACCTATCATAAACGGACATCTGTATTGGCCAGCGGTCTGGGGGATTTTGGGTTTCGGGTTTTTTTGTGCTTAGGGCTTTGAAGGCTTGGCGTCTTTAGGATTTTGGGGTCCAGGGATCCAAAATTAAAGACCTGGGACCCAAAATTATGGATTTGGAAGGCCTCAATGGACCCCGCGTTGGTGGACCTGTGAGGAACCTGTGCAAGTCTAGAGTCCCAAAGGCCCCTGCGTTGGCAGGGGACTCGTTACCCGCAAGGACCTGTCCATGTTCGCTGTGCACAAGACAGGTCCTGTTTACGGGTCGCACCAGGTCCTTGATTTTCAGCGCCAAGTCCATAATTTTAGGTTCCAAGTCCTTAATTTGAGGTCCCAAACTTTTTTTAGATCCAAGACGTTAAACTGTAATTTTAGGCTTCAAATCCGTAATTTCGGGTTCCAGGTCCTTAATTTTAGGTCCCAGGTCCTTAACTCTGGATCCCAAATGTTTTACAGGTCCCAGGTCCTTCCTTAATTCTAGGTACCAGGTCCTTAATTTCAGGTCCCAGATTCTTAGTTTTAGGTTCCAGATCCTTTATGTTAGGTCCGAGGTCCTTAGTTTTGGGTCCGAAATCCTTAATCAAAGGTCCCAAACCTTAATTTTAGGTCCAAAACCTTAACTTTAGGTCCCAGGTTCTTAACTTGAGATCCCAGATCGTTCTGGATCCCTGGACCCTAAGTCCTCGAGACCCCAAGCCCTAAAAGCCTTCAGCTCTACAAGCCCGAAACCCAAAATTCCTCAGACCGCTGCCCAGTCCAGATGTCCGTCTATGTTAAAGTCTTTTACAGGTCCCTGTCTACGGGTCGCGCCAGGTCCTTGATTTTCGGCGCCAAACCCGTAATTTTGGGTCCCAAATCCTTATTCGAAGGTCACAAGTCTTAATTTTAGATCCACAACCTTAACTTTAGGTCCCAGGTTCTTAGTTTGAGATCCCAGATCCTTAGTTTCAGGTCCCAGGTCCTTAATTTCAGGTCCCAGGTCCTCAATTTTTAGGTTTCAGGTCCTTAGTTCCAGATCCCAAATCCTTAATTGTGTGTCAAATCCAACTACCCGAAGCCCTCCCTTACTATCCCCTATAGAAAAGGCTTCATGTTTGGGCTTCGGGTTTTAAAGATGTTCGGATTTAAGCAACCCAAATCCCTAAATTTGGAGGGCTTTGGTTTAGGGTTGCGGGTTTTGGGTAGGCAGCGGACCTGTGTGGCCGGACCTGTGAGACACCAAAAAACCCAGGACAAACCAAACAAACAAAAAAAAAAACACAGGACAAACCCGACACAAAATTATACACCCCCCCAACATGCATGCTCCTTCCCTGGTAGGCCTCGGCCCTTCGCTCCCTGACCCTCCCATGGTGGTTGCCAACAGCATGAGATCCCTATTTGAGCAATAGTCTGAACTCCTTCAAGGGGTTATATAAGAGATTCTATAGGGCACTACTATAGGGGTCATAAAGGGGGATACTAGGAGTATAGATTATGGTTCATTTGAGGCTCTTATAGAGAGGGATCCAACAAACAGCCGGAGTCCCTGTCTCACCTCCTCAAATTTTGGATTCTCTGGTAGTGTGTCCTATCTCGGGAACCATTGAAAGAGCTGCCTCGACTGTATGGGGGGTCTACATCAGAGGGCGTCAGGCCACGGCAGCCTATTCAAAAGAGCACCCCTTGCTTTCTCATCTTTACCTTTTGTCAAGGGCATCCGGGTACTGAAGGTATGATTTTGGATCCAATGAGCCTTTAGGACTCAGGAGTCGGATCAGCACCCATGCTCGCTTGGGGACCATGGCCCCACGGCAGCAGCAATATAATTCCAATTTTTTAACACATAAAAGTCATGCCTGACTAACGCTTTGGCAGGCTGAAGACGACGCTTTGAATTTTCAGCCAACAATGGAACCTCCGCTGCGTGCTCAGGCACACCAAACAGAGAACACACTAATCCCGAGCATGACATCCAACCCTGAGCCACAACAGGCGCAAAGGCTCTTCTGTGGAGCTGGTGTTGTCCAGACTCCCATTGCGGCTTATCAGAAAGGACCACAAACCACTTCGACCTCCCAACCCAAACGGAAGCCATTATGCCCCTTAGGGATGTTGCCATAAAGGGCCAGTACTAAGGGGTCGTTCGGAGGCTTTTTTCCGTAATCTGACCTTCATTTTCAATTGGGAATGCTAGTGCTGCCCTACTCCAAGTAGAAACTGGGCTCAATCCTTGCAAGGTAAGCTGGTGCAAAAAAGGGGGTTCCATGATACGGGGCCACCAAGTATGGAACTGACTAGAATACAGTCTTTCTTACCTAACTTTTGGACTTGTGGAAACTCCCAAATCTCAAACATCGCAGCCATATCCCTGACTGCAACACCCACACCCACAACGCCTATACAGCTGGACCTCAGCAAGAAAACACTTGCGTGCAAGATTGAAACCACTTGAGGCTGACATGCCGCGATAGCATGTCTTACTTTACTACCACGAGGCGCCCTAAAACCCCTGAGCTGACTCCCTCCAAGCCCCAAACTCCAAACGCCAAACAAAAAGACTCGGCCAGGGGGCGATTTAGCAGCAGTTTGGCCGCGGCGTCCTCTGGAAAATCCCGCTTCAAAAGCATGCAGCTGAAGTTGATGCCACGATCGGCCGGCTCCCCACAGCCCGCGACAATGGATGCGTTGTAAGGAGCTTAAGTTTATTCAAGCCGGAGCTGATACTAATAATAAGAACAATACTAATCTTGATCCGGGATGGCATCCTACTGTGTTGCCTTTGCCGAAGGTGTGGAGCTTTGAGTTCAATCATGATGTCAGTTTCCGAAACAAGAAGAGGTCTCTCATTCTGGGAAGCTCCCACGCTGTGACTTCACAAAGCAGCTTTGGGTGCTGGATCTGCGGTTTAATGTGGCGTGACGGCTTTCAAAGTGGTTCGGAATGGAGCGAGCTTTCGGCTCCACGGAATAACAAAAAGAGTACGGAACAGAGCAAACGTTTGTCGTGCGGAAGAATTTCAAGGCAGAACGACGCATTCATGGCATGCTCTGAACTGGAACCCCTAAACCCTACACCCTAAACCCTAAGCCCCAGGCGAGAAGAGAATCCAGCCATCTCTAAGCAGCCCTGGGAGTACTGATTTGTGAATTCCTCCCGGAATCCCCCAAACAACTTTTTCCAAACTTACCTGGGGGATCCCTTATTCAGGATCTTCAACTTGAGGGGGCTTCAGGATCAGACCGCCCCCTTGTGGTTCAAATAGAGACACCCGTCTTCAAAGTTCCGGGCAACCCAAACCCTATTCCCTACGTATGACTCTTCGCTCCTCTTTGCCGGACTTGCCTTTCCTTGGCAACTCTAGTTGCGCAGCTTGTGGTCGGTGGGAAGGCTCCGGTTTTGCAGAAGCTCCACGGGCGATCTATGTATACATACAAAATTATATATATATATATGTGTGTGTATCTGTGTACATGCATATATAAATATGTGTACATGTGTATATACATATATATATATAGACCTGTAGATATGAGGATAATCGTGAGGCATGTAAATATATACAGACATGTGTGAATATGGAATGAAGTATACGAGAGTATATATAGATATGCGCATACTTAAACAAAGCCCACACATACAACACTTTGCGGCGCGAGACTAATACACGTGTTGCTGGAAGTCGAGGCCTCAAAGTGCTGGTTCAAGAGATCGGAGATGTGCTAAATTCATGGGATGCCCTGAGGCGCCCCAGAGCTATGTTCTGGACATTATGAAGGGCATATTACCCTTAACTCTAACCACCAAAACCCTAATGGGGTCTCTGCGGTATAGGATCCTGGAGGGCGTTGCGTAAAGACTGTACATTGCCTTCTGACTGCTCTAATGCAAAAGCAATGGCAATGACTTTGTCCTGGGCAAGCCGCACTTTGTAAAGACAACTCCTGCAACCCTCGAGGTCCAAGTACGCAATAATCATATACTTGCCCAACCTTATACTACAACTACTAATACCGAGGGCATGGGCAGCCGGGGTCGGGGGAGCCTGAAGCCTCAAAGCCCCGAAGCTTCTCAAGCACCCGCAAAGCCTCGAAGCTCCGTGCACCTATGACCATTTTCCAAATGTCAAGAACCCAAAATTACCGATTGGGCTAAGACCCTCTCCTTGGGGGGGGCCATAACAAGGACTAACAATCCTATGGGCTCCTCCTGTTAGGCATACGTATGTCTCCTGTCTCCTCCTGTTGGATCACGGACCGGCGGGCATGCAAAATGTACTCCTGCAATGCCGGGGGGCCCCTCCATTCTATGACACGCCGCATTCGCAAATGAGCTGTAGTCTAAACTCCGAGTATGCCCCTTGATAGCCTCGATATTAGTCCCCTTATATAATCCCCCATATACCCCCTTTGAGGAGTTTAGATTCTAGCTCAAATCAACCCCATTCCAAAGATCCGCGTTGTAAGAGTCCCAGAGATCATGATGGCTATCAAACATCCGCAACCTGCCAAGCATCATCGACTTTATGTACTTGGAGAAGAGCTCGCCTGCCTAGACGTGGGCTGCGCATCCATCTAAACCAGAATCCACACAAGTCACCGGGAAATGATATGGCTCCTCTCACACCTTAACCGCCATCATCGCATTTAGTTACTGAGGCAAACATGTGTGCACACACACACACATATATATATATATAGAATGTGCACTGTATGAAAAACATAATGTGCACAGCTCTCAACGAACTCGCTATTGTGGGCTGTTAGAGGTTAGTCCTCACCCTGAAGGTCTTTGTACTTATCTAGCAAACATGCGTTGCATGCACATGTGTTCGGGCCTCAAAATTCTAAATGAACTGCTGGGCGCCTTTTGTGTACGCCGTACGGGCACTTGCACGCTTGGAGTTATTGTTTTGGGAGGGTCGGGATTCCTTGTGAGGATCCTGGTGTTGATTTAACAGACATGATCTAAAGTCCGTCCCTGTGTATCTCCCCGTTTGGGTTGGGAATTGAGATTTGATTCAAAATCATGGTCCTGCTGTTGTCCTATCCGCGCTTGGAAACCTATCCAGAGCGCTCTGATAGGAGTGAAGTGAGCATTGCTAAAATTTGCGAAGTGCTCATTCACATAGGGAGGCAGCGCTGTCACGCCGTGTTCTGCAAGGCCCACCCCAAACCGCAGAACCCGTCCGAAAGCCCATGAACCCCAAGGCGCAAGCGCCCCCGAAAAAGTCCATCCCTCTTCTTCTCATTGGCAGTTAAAGGGATAAAGAAAAAAGAATTTAAAGGGATTTTACAAGGATTGTAATCCCCCATTCCCTACAAACCAGCAGTAAACTGCCCCGAGACGCCTCGATATGTCCTTCGTGCCAGGCGGATCATGCAAGGCTCACATCCCAGCCACAACCCTCAACCCTGCACACCCGACCCGGACGCTGAGCAAACCACAATATCTATACTTTGCCTCTATAGTGGATGGAGGAAATCTTCCATCCATTTTTTGGACCCTATACCTCAAGACTCGCAAGATTTGTAACCCTACACCGTAGCGAACGATTTACTCCATTCACCGCATGACCTCCGCATTTTAGCTACAAGGCTCAACCCGCTAGACCTTGGGTGTAGGGTTCAGGGCTTCGATGTGGGCCTTTCCATTGATTATGAGTCTTTTGTGGGGGTCTCGATTACAAGGGTTACAATTTCTTAGGGTCTATCCGCCAACTCTTGGGGGGGCGTGCTGGATGGTTTCAGTAGACGGAGAGGGTGAAATGTCTCCCTTACAGCCCAAAAACGTGGGGGGTGGGAGGGGTATCCCGGCTATGTTTCCTTGGGGGTCCCCACCTCCGCGGCAGCCGTCTCAGCTTCACCAGGCTCCCCCCAAGATTTTTGACAAACGGGCTCTGGGCAGCTGGCACTTGTTGGGGGGTCCTGTCACAATCGCGACAACCTGGCTTGTTGTGGATTTCCTGCGCGGCCACTGAAATTAGCAAAGATGCGGAGTCCCGTCAGCCTAGCTTGAACTAATCTTGTTAGGCAAAGGAAGTCCAAAGCCTTGGGTGTCAGGCTGGGGGTTGCCTCATCAGGGGCCACCAAGCTAGGCTCATGAAGGCTTGGGCACTTCAAATGCAGTGTTGGTGCTGACACGCTGGCTTGTTTCATGTTGCGCCGATTGATTTTCTGCGCCCTGAGGGCTGGGGCCTGAAACCCCTGGGGCCCGGGTCCCAAACCCCTAGGTTGAGCATGCTGATCAGGGTGCCCACCCACGCCAGGCTCTCATCAAGGATTGGACACGTCTGCAACAATAATGCAGTGTTGGTCCTGCACAGTCCCGGCAACCTGGCTTGTTGCGCCGATTGATTTCCTACGCAGCAACTGAAAACAGCAAAG